GGGCGCCAGGACAGATACCACAAATTCCTTCATCATCATGTTAATTGATCCTGCACCCACCTAAGTATGTGTCCATCATTTTACTTTTTATCCAATCCCAGGGGTTTCCCTGCTTTGCTTTATCCCTCCTCCTTAATCTATCACCAATGAATTTCATGTAACCCACCTACGTCCCTCCTTTGATTGAAAATGTATAAATACAAATGTAACCCCGCCATTCTCTGGAGCATCATCTCAATTCATTGAGGTTCTGCTTCCCGGCCTATGTTGACAGTTTGGCTCAAATAAACTCACAAAAATTCTTTACAGGTTTCAATGGTTTTTACATTAACACCAGCCAGGGCCCTGGTCAGGGCATGTGCAGGAGGCAACCAATCGATATGTTTCTCTCACATCGATATTTCTGTCTTTCCTTCTTTCACTCTCTAAAAATCAATGGAAAAATATCCTCGGGTGAGGATTTTTAAAAAAAGAAACATCAATGATGAGAGAGCATCATTGATCAGCTGCCTCCTGCATGCCTCCTGGGAATCCAGCCCACAACCTGGGCATGTGCCCTGACCTGGAATCCAACCGTGACCACGGTGACCACTGTCACCACCTGGTTCATAGCCGGACACTCAACCACTGAGCCACACTGGCAGGGCTCCCAGTTCTAATTGGACAGGGAGGTGGGAAATTCCTCTTTTTACCAGCCTGGGTTGTGGGCAAGTCCTGGGGTTCTGACGCAGTTCAGAATACTGCGGGAGAACTCTGTTCTTTTTGCTCTTGTCACTTGGAGTTACCTACCTTCCTGACCAGAATGTCCCGGGGTCCAGCCTCCCCCTCTGAGGTGTCATCTTCTCTGCAGACCCAAGCAGGGTGGGGGGCTGGGGTCTCTCTCCTGGACCTCTGCCCACCTGGCAGTCTCCGGCCCCGCGCCGTGGGCTTGCCCACTGTCTCCTTCCTGGGAGTGTCAGCTCAGCCAGCCTGTTCCCGAGGCCACCCCCGCTCCAGCCTGGGGCTGGGACCCGGGACCCAGGACCCAGGAGAACGAATCCATCCCTGTCCCCCGCAGGCAGGTGCCCAGCGGCTCAACCTCGTTCTTTGGGTGATGCTGAGGGGAGGGGCGGTGCTCAGCTTTGGGCCCTGGTTCTGGGCCATGTCACCTCACCTCTCGGCACCAGGGTTCACCCACTGAATAGGGATGGGGGACAAGTCCCACCCCACCCGGCGCCCCATTGCTGCTAGGTTTACATGAGAAGGGCCAGTCCCAGCGGCTCAAGAACCCTGGCCACTTCTCCGGCCAAACACAATCACACACCCAGTCTTCGGGGTCCCCGGATTAAGCCACTGGACTCTGGACACAGTGCAGATGGCAGGTTTCTACACGCAGAGGGGGTTCTGGTGCCGGAGGCCGGGGAGCAGGGTATGACGGGGGCAGGGAAGGGAAGGTGGCCTCGTTTAGCGCATCAAATACGGGCGGGTCGACTGGACTCCAAATAAAGAGCGGATACTCCTTGGCATCAGGCTGTCTCCATCCCGCGTCCAGCCTTCTGGCTGGCGGCGCCGCTGGGCAGGTGGAGCCTGGGGCGGGGCGGG